ATCCGAAGAGGGCTAGCACCTTCTGAGGGTAATTACGGAATTTTTATCGCAATTGTTACATAGAAAATTATTCATGACATTTTAAAGGTTAAAATGGTCAAGCAATAATTAATTGTATTTAATTATTATATATTAAGATAAATGAGATGAACTAAAATAACCTTTTAAAAGTTAAAGGGCAAAAGGGTAAACTTATGGGTTGTTAATGTAAACTAGTGTAGATTACATGGGCCCTTGAATAATATTGATTATTCAAAGGCCAAATTAATAAATGTTTGGGCTCCTTTTAGAATAAGATTTCATTAGGGCATACAAGTGAAAAGAAGGAATTACAAAATGACCCATGTGTATATAAATGCAAATGGTTGCATTTTAGGTCAAAGTTGTTCATTGTTCACTCAAAAAGAGAAACACAAGCTCTCTCTTAGGTTTGGCCACCCTCTCTTTCTCTCAAGGTCGTGTTAAAGTGCGGAGGGTTCATAGCTTTGAATCTTGGCTTCATCAAACCTAAGTTTTAATAAGAAGGTATAATGTTAATTTATGCTTTATTTAAAGTTTTGAATCCTATAATTCATATCTTAGCTTGCATGTCTTGTTTACATGCTTTCCATCATTTTTCTACCACCTCTTCATGGTTTTTCACAACTACTCTACCAATCATCGGCCATTACACTTCCTTTGGCCGACGTGTTTTCAAGCTATTCTGATCGAATCCAACAATGGCAACCCTCTCCGACCACGCTATTTGACTCATCGGCGCACCCTAACAAAACCATCAACATCTCCCAACCCAATTTACCACCGATTGTTGCCACCTACCAATTAGGTTTTTGCGCAAACGCCACCTATTCCCAACACAATTCATGTTGATTGCCACACTGGAAACTTCCCTAGCCACCATCTTTTGCACCATTAGCATACCCTCTCCAAAACCTCTAACCTCTCTAACCCTGATTGCCTATCAGCTGCTGCAAAGAACTAGGTTTTCCTATTTAAGCTAGATTCTGGCCAATTCCGATGGTCAAAATCACTCATGTCAACACCCACAGACTCATTGGCCTTTCCCCTCCCCCCATCATTCCAGAGATTGATTGCTCATCGAACGCTAGTCATGACTTTGTCGCCTGCAGCCGTGTGTTGTTTTGTTTTATCCGTTGATTGGGTTCAAATTGAATAGTAATTTGATTGTTGTTGGTTGTATTTTCGATTGGTGTTTGTTTTGTGTTGTAATTCTGGGCTTTTCCTCCTGCCAAAGACCATTTTTTGATTGCCTCTGCTCACTAAAGAGAAAGTAAGTGCCAGAGTGAGAGGGGCCGGTGATTGGGGCTGCAAGCGGGTAGGGGTGATAGGGGTTTTGTTAATTGACCATCATGCCCTTACTAATAACAAACTTTTAACTATCCTACACTTCTTAACAATGAAATTTACTAACAGAATTGTGTTTTAGGTAGTAAAGTGGTATTTTAAAAGTTCATACACAAGAAAGTGTCATTAGGCCATTATTTGGGTGGGAAAAAGTCTTTTACTCTTAGGAAAAACAAAAACAAAAGATTTTAATGAGTTTTGCTTGATGTACGAGCAGTTAAGGTAGAAATAGAAGAGTAATGCTACCCTTCTATGGGTTTTCATACCAAGAGTTTACATATTTTGATAAAATGGCATAGATGCCCTTCTTTTTTATCTAGTTGAAAGTTAAAAAATGGGTGGGCCATTGTTTGTTTCCGAAATCAAGTGTGGCAAATTAATTTGATAAAGTTTGGGTGGGAAAAATTATTCAGCCTGATTATTTTTTTTTTCTTATTATATATTAATGGACTGTAGATAGTAAACATACATTTCATGGCTTAGAAAATTTTAAAGTTCTTAGATTTAGTTTAAGTATACCGATTTTATGTTATCGTGTCAAAATATTGTGTTAGAGTTGGTGAACTCTAGTTAATGTATAGGTACTCATTTTTAAAGTGCAGCGGAAGTTTTTACCAAATTGATTAATGGTTATTAAGTTAAGCATGAATCAATCATCCATAAACAATAAATGTAAAGCATACCAACATATACACGGTTTGGCTAAAACCACTCTTAGCCTACATCCATGAGACCTCGTCCAGATCAAAGCAAATCCACTAAACAACAAACATTACAAGATATAGTTCAAATTTGATTTTAGCTACAACAAAGAGAACTCCCTGTTCTAGTTACATTAAACACCACCCTCTGAATCTCTAATGTCTTGTTGCTCTAAGGACCTCTTCACGTTAGGAACACACCTGAAGAACAATTGAGCTTCACCCAAGCTTCACACACCAAAGCCACGCTCTAGCATCAACAATGGAACCAAGTTTCAACCGCTATTCAACAAGTATATGAGATGATGAAAGTTTGGCACAATAACATAAAGTGAACCTTTGAGGAATAAAACTCTTCGAAAATTTTAGAGCACAAGCAAATAAAATATCAAAGGTTAGCTTTACAAATGAGCAACAATGAAGATCATATAGACAAATTTCATGCTCAACAATTTATGCCAAGTCAGTAAACAATGGCTGACATATGTTGGTCCAAAAATGAAAAAGATTTCATCTATCTTTTGAGACCACAACCAAAAAAGAAAAAAGCTTATTTTCCCTAACCACAAGAGGATATTGGGACACCTATAGGTGGTTCTCCTGACAGCACAACAGATGGGAAAAAATATCTCAGTTGATAAAGATAAAAACGCAACTTGTGCAAAAGTAGGTCAGACATGCGATGTTAGCACAACAGAAAAGTGTGCGCACACATGAAGTAAATCTCAAAATAAAATGCAACAAGCAAATGTCTAACAAAAGTGTGCAAGCACACATCTGTTGTGCACGCACATGAAATTAAAAAGCAAAAGACATAAGTCTGACATAGCTGAACACGTGGAGGACAAAAAGCATTCCAACTTTTTGTTAGACCACAAACATAACTTTTCTCTTCCTTGCAGGACCACAGATGAAACCTTACAACCTTTTAGAACAACATAAGGAAATTATGACACCCATAAAGTTAGCTCACACAAATAAATCATGAATCAAAATTAGCTTGATAGGCAAGACAACAAAAAGAAAAACACCACTTGGCAAAATGTGTCAGACAGCAAATGCATGCACAAAAGAATGATGTGTGCACATATTTGCTCAACAATTCATTGTCCACCATAACATATGTTTGACAAAAATATCAACATATTGAATAAAATGGTTTGTACTATGTGAAAAATTTGTTGTCTTAAATATGATTTAAATTCTTTTATTTTTGAGTTCATGTTTTGAAAACTTTAAAATCTGATTTAAATTGTTTTATTTTATATTTTTAAAATATGATGCATCGTCAAATTTTTAAAATACAAAATCAAAATTCTTATTTCTATTTTTGAGTTCATGCTTCTAAAACAAAAACGTAAATGTACCCCATCTTAGTTTTTTTTATTTTCCTTGGAGATAAACTTAGACATATGGGGCCCATTTGGATAGGCAAAATATTAGATAATTGGGGTAATATTTTTTAAATTGAACAGATGACGATGTTTGGTTGATTTGTAAAAAATGTTCTCGGAATCTTTCATGACAAGTAGTGGCATTTAGAGGGTAAGTTGTCAGGAATATTATTACCTTGGGGGGGGAGGTGTGTCTGTTATTAAAACTTGCCCCAGGTAATCCAATTTTGTGTCTCATGTTACCCCTAAACAGTTGAGCATTTGGTCCAAATTACCCTCATATTTGTTAAGATTTACATAACACTCAATTCACTCATGCAGACCTTTTTGTCCTCACTTTTTAAATTTTTTGGACGACATTGCCCTTGTTATTGTCATTATTTACAGAAATATCATTGTACCCAAAACTGGCTACCACCTCCAATCATCGTTTACAGCCTTCGGAGGTTGTCGAAAGTTGCCATAATGGCATAAGACTGGACGTGCGCCAGTGAGGCCTTTTCCAACCATGGATCACAGATCCATGGTTGAAAATGGCAAGATCTAGCCGTGAAACGGCCATAGATCTAGCCATGAAATAGCTAGATCTCGCCGTGAAACGGCCAGATCTGTGGCATTGCAGGTGTCACGACCAAATCTGTGGCACTGTTGGTGGCCGCCGGCGGTGGTGGCTGGTTACTGGCAGTGGCTTGGGATGGGTAGAGGTGTTTTTGTTAAGTTTAAAACATTTTTGGTTGCTAGGGTGTTTTTGCTAAATCTGAAAAGTAGAGGGTTAAAAGAATTATTCAAATAATAATAATAATAAATGATATTTTATTAATATTTAAAAATGAGGGCAATTTAGTAATCTATATAACATACTCACCCATTTATCCTCCTAACCAAACATATTATTCACTAATTTATTCGACCAACTAAACACATTTTCTAAACATTCCCAGTAATCTTCAAAGTGATTTTTCGTTCCGTTAATATAATATCCCCCTATAATAAAACATTATATAATTCAAACACCCCCTCAGGGATGACAAATAAGGATATTAATTTAGAGGATAAGATAAGTTTGTGGGACAAATTAAATCCCCATACTAAAATAAAGAGGGGATGGAACTAGCCTCATTCCCCATTATAATATTATTTTTAGCTATGATTTATTTAAACCTTTTTACTTTTATTATTGCTAGAATATATTAAGGTTGTTCCTATTTAAAACATTAATACTATATAGAGATTGGTTTATTGAATTTTATTAAAATTTAAGTATGATTATTTATATAGAATATGTTAGTTTATTATATATTTGTCCTCATTGCGCTTAAAAAATGGGGAAAAGGGTCAGGTTGAAGAAAGCGTTCCCTTCAATAGGAGGTGTAAAGTTTATCATAAGGATAATACTACAATTATAAAGTTGGTATGTGGCAAATTAATTCATTATCCCATCATCTTATAATTAAGAAATGCTGCCAAATCAATTGCGACATGGGTTGGAATACAAAGTTAGGAGTATGTATATTGTATAGTAGTATTGATATCATAACAATTAGTGAGAAGAAGTAATAATTGATAGTGAATTTCGCAAACTGTTATTACAATACACTTCCTTTTGTTCAGTCAATCAATGAAATATACAAGAAGAAACAGGGACAACCAGTGACAAATTGCCTTTAGTGTACAATATTTCATATTTTTCCATCATCAAATTAGACAAAATCGTCAATCTATGTAGCAGCCTGCATATATTATGATCTTATGAAATGGAAAATTGCAAAAAAGAAGATAGATTAAGGTCATCGGCATCCCAACTCAACTCTTCCATCAGCATTTATACTTGTATTTGTGCAAAGCTTCTGAAGATCAATGTAGCCTATAATGGTGTCCTCAAAAACAGCATCTTCCAGTTGAGCTTCATCAAAGGTGGATCCGGATAATACTGTGTTCTTAAATACAGCTCCTTGGAGATTGGCTTTTCCAAAATTTACTCGATCTAATACAGCATTTGAGAAGTCTGTACCTGTTTAATCATTCAGGACAAAGTATATATTATGGTTCTTTATATTCAACATTAGGAGAACTAAGCACGAGGGGATCATTCTACATAGTGAAAGAAACTTTTGTTTCTCGCATCAAAACTGATACCTATTGTCACATTTCATTATGCAAAACCCTATTTAAAATATAGCAAATATATCTTATGAATACTAATGAAGCAAGAAAATCGGATAAAACGTCCAAATAATCCATCAGTCAAAATTCACACCAGTGTCATAGAATTGAGCTATCTATAGGAATTTACATGCAGTAGCACAACCTAATTCATATGATGTGTTATGTGACTCTAACCGAGTCATGATGAGTCTTGATGCTGTGCCATAACTCAAGGGCAAGCATCGACACCCTGCGGAAATGACAGTGTTCTCAACAGTACTTGAAATGTTTCTATTTTATCTTTCATGGTATTTCTAAGGGTCAGCTCTCATTCCATAAAGGGCCATTATGTGAGTTTTTCAAAGTTTGTAATCTGCAGATCAAGTCACAGCTAAAACTTGGCTGCGCCGTATATTGAAGTAGGTAGTTTAACAGACCAATGGTGAAATGATATAGCAGAAAATTACCCTTAAAGCTTGCTCCCACGGCATAAGCCTTTGACATCACTACTTCTGACATGTCTGCACCATCAAACTTGGCATTGGACATCAGGGCAGCGGCAAGAGACTTACCCTTCAGGTTTGATTTTTCATTTGAATAATCACAGAAGCGGAGATCAATTGGCTTGTCATAAACACCATTTGCCTGACCAATCGTGTTACCAACATATGCACGCTCGCATCGGTTTGGCTCTGTTGACAGTGGAGGCAATCTCTGCAAGGCAAACACACTATAATTTCATAACCTTACATAACCTCTCAAGTAAATACTATAGTTTCTATGCTGCTCATCACAATTGCTAATTTCTTTGATTGGAACCAGAATTTAACTTAAATAGACATGGCAACTTAAATGTAAACCATAGCAAGAGAAACATAAAGCTGGAGAAAACTCCCAAAGGAAAGATAATACCATGCTTTCCTATAAACCACCTTCAAATATATCAGACCTATAGTACCGATTTCTCTGTAGAAATGTGCAAAACTGAACCTGATATCACCGATCAATACCAAATTCAAGTTTACAAAAATGCATGATCCTGAGCCCTTATAAATGAAGAAGCAACAAGCAAGTGATTGATATGAAATGTCCAATGGTAAAGCATCCCTAACACAAAAAATGCATCTCTTTTCTCATAATCTTAATTATCAAAAGCTTTCAAAAAGGTGCTTCTACAACTTCAGACCTCTGGACTTCGAACTGCTGAATGGGCCGAAAAGGCTAAGACATTAATGCATATCAAAACCATTCATAATTTATTCTTCAAATAAACCAATTAATCATATTAAACTTCATAGAAATACAATTTAACACCCAGACCACTGTCAAGATATTGTGGATTTATCTCTTATCCAGCTCAAATAGTAGGGCTCAACGCGCATATCATTTGAAACGAACTCAATTGGTAGTCTTGATTCATTTCAATGATTGAAGTCGCGGCTTCCAATGAAGGGAGACTCACTATGAAATCTACTAATTTGAGGAGGATAAGAGATCACAGTATCTTGTCAGTGGACCGGAATGTTACATATGAAACAAAATTAAAACAATAAAAACCAAAAAAAATTATGTATTCTTTTATATCAATATATACTGAAATGGAACTATAGAAAAATGGCACATACCACATTAGCAGCAATTACAGGAGAGGCAGAAGACACAGCCCAAGCGGCAAGAATGCCACAAGCCACACCTTTAAGCTCCTTCAAATGAGAATTTTTTTCCTTTGATTCAGAAATATCTCTTCTACCTGCTCTTAAATACAGTAAAGATTAGTCATTTTTTTATAGGTTGCAAGAAATATAGAAAAGGGTGTTTTCATGTTTTTGATTTTGATGATTCAAACCAACAAAACAATTAGAATTAACAGTAGTTGTAGTTTTGATGAAGAATGAAGTGGAAGTCTTACCGGAGCAACTGATTCTGAGGGGTGGATGGAGTTCAGGAAAGCTAAAACGGTGGCGTGTGGAGGGTAAATTATGAAGAGATGAAGTGTTGTTAAACAATGGAGTAGAAAGTGTAGCCATTTTTATGAAATGTGTGTGTTGGAAGAAGGTGTTTTGGCTTGTGGGCTCTCTCTCTTTCACTGTCTCTCAGTTTTAAAGTCTTAGCGCGTTATCCATTGAAGCTTCTATATGACCATATCTATCCTAGGTGGCATGACGATAGTAGTACTTAAATTCACTATGATTTTTTCTTTTTTCAATTTGGGCTTTAATAATTATAGGGATACTTAAAGAAAACCCCCGTGTAGATCGCCTAATGACAGAAAACCTCGGCACATATGGGAAATAGGACCTTAACTCCCATTCTGTCAAAATCCTATTAATATAAATCCATTATATTGTAAAATGACATTTTTACCCTTGTTAAACCTACAAACCCCCAATGACAAATTTTAAAACACCCCCACCTCTTAGAAGTTATCGTCGACAACCCTTTGGAGGCTTGTGACAACCACCAAAGCCATAAAGGCTTTACGACGACGGTGATTGAGGCTCGACAAGGCCTTTTGACTACCAACTAGGGCGAGATCTAGCCTCACGGCGTCGTAAAGGCTAGATTCGACCTCTTGGTGCCAATAAAGGTTGGATTCGTCCAATTGGCATCAATCTAGGCAATTATGGTGGAAGAGATGAAAGGGGCGGTTGGGCTTGGGGCTTTCCCTTTTGAGTGAATAGAAAAAATATACTCTTTATTTTACTCAAACTTTTCTTTTATAGTCCTAAGGTTTAAGTGTGGATTCGAAGACTATCTTTTGACAGTACCCATCCCCTTTGAACTTTGGCTAGCACCTGTATTTTTCCTCATGTGCGCATTAAGATGGCCCGTACTATCGAACAATGACGACCCTATGCCATCCTACTAGGGCAGAACGGGCAGCTAATGAGCTCCATGAGGGATTACACCACCCCAAGGATAGATTGTGGGTGGGATATTGATACTGACACCCCAAGGATAGACTATGGGTGAGATTTTTTTATATGATACCATATTATGACACCATAAGGATAGGTTGTGGGTCGAGTATGGTTATCCGGTGATGATTCAGCCATCCCAAGGATAGACTGTGGATGGCCTAGTTGATTGTCTATGCTAGGGACCTATACTCGAGAGGTATGATTTGAGTCCTTGGGTACTACGATGGTAGCGGTAAGTAGGATTACATATTGGTTTTGCATATATATATAGTTGTGCATGATGGTCTGGATTTGGAGACTACCTTTCGATANTCTTTCACTGTCTCTCAGTTTTAAAGTCTTAGCGCGTTATCCATTGAAGCTTCTATATGACCATATCTATCCTAGGTGGCATGACGATAGTAGTACTTAAATTCACTATGATTTTTTCTTTTTTCAATTTGGGCTTTAATAATTATAGGGATACTTAAAGAAAACCCCCGTGTAGATCGCCTAATGACAGAAAACCTCGGCACATATGGGAAATAGGACCTTAACTCCCATTCTGTCAAAATCCTATTAATATAAATCCATTATATTGTAAAATGACATTTTTACCCTTGTTAAACCTACAAACCCCCAATGACAAATTTTAAAACACCCCCACCTCTTAGAAGTTATCGTCGACAACCCTTTGGAGGCTTGTGACAACCACCAAAGCCATAAAGGCTTTACGACGACGGTGATTGAGGCTCGACAAGGCCTTTTGACTACCAACTAGGGCGAGATCTAGCCTCACGGCGTCGTAAAGGCTAGATTCGACCTCTTGGTGCCAATAAAGGTTGGATTCGTCCAATTGGCATCAATCTAGGCAATTATGGTGGAAGAGATGAAAGGGGCGGTTGGGCTTGGGGCTTTCCCTTTTGAGTGAATAGAAAAAATATACTCTTTATTTTACTCAAACTTTTCTTTTATAGTCCTAAGGTTTAAGTGTGGATTCGAAGACTATCTTTTGACAGTACCCATCCCCTTTGAACTTTGGCTAGCACCTGTATTTTTCCTCATGTGCGCATTAAGATGGCCCGTACTATCGAACAATGACGACCCTATGCCATCCTACTAGGGCAGAACGGGCAGCTAATGAGCTCCATGAGGGATTACACCACCCCAAGGATAGATTGTGGGTGGGATATTGATACTGACACCCCAAGGATAGACTATGGGTGAGATTTTTTTATATGATACCATATTATGACACCATAAGGATAGGTTGTGGGTCGAGTATGGTTATCCGGTGATGATTCAGCCATCCCAAGGATAGACTGTGGATGGCCTAGTTGATTGTCTATGCTAGGGACCTATACTCGAGAGGTATGATTTGAGTCCTTGGGTACTACGATGGTAGCGGTAAGTAGGATTACATATTGGTTTTGCATATATATATAGTTGTGCATGATGGTCTGGATTTGGAGACTACCTTTCGATAGTACCCATCCCCTCCGAACTTTGGCTAGGACTTGTATTTCTCCTCATATGCGCATTGAGATAGCCTGTACTATCAAACAATGACGACCCTATACTATCCTACTGAGATAGAACGGGCACCTAATGAGCTCCAGGCGGGATTACACCCCGAGGATAGACCTTGGGTAGGATATTGATACTGACACCCCAAGGCTAGACGTTGGGTGGGATTCTTTTATATGATATCATATCATGACACCTTGAAGATAGATTGTGGGTCGAGTATGGTTATCTGATGATGATTCAACCGTCTCGAGGATAAATTGTGGATGGCCTAGTTGATTGTCTGTGCTAGGGACCTATACTAGAGAGTAAGATTCGGGTCCCCTTGGTACTAGGATGGTGGCCAATGAGTAGGATTTCATGCACGGATCATTTTATGTTCCACCCCTTCCCCTACCCCAAGGTTCATGCAGAGTTGTTTGTATGCTCTAGGTTGGCCTACAGATGCATGTTCTACCTCATGATGTGTGCCCACTTTAAAGTGTACTCTGATACTATGTTTTGTAACTGATTTTTAGTATTTATGTTTTTAGAGACTATTTGTAAGTGCACAGACGAATGTTTTTTTAAGTTATGTATGTTTTTAATAAATGGTTTTTATAAAATGACTCTATGATTTATTTACCTTCCTTTCGAGATCTTGAATCCCTCGGAGCGCCTAGATCCAATGGGATAGGGACTACCCAGGAGGGGACATGACACTCCTTAATCCTTATCATGTTGGTGGTGAATAGTATCATGATTGACTACCAATCAATCCATTCACTATTCATAGACCAAGATTGGCCTCTAGCAAGGCATCATGGCCACCGAACAAGCAGAGATTCAGGAAAGACCGTGCAATCAAATTCTTTCATTATCTTTTATTTTGTCAAAGCTGAGGCACGGAAATAATGTTAACCTCAAATCAAATCCTTGATATATTGGTATTTGGTTAATGGACCAACAATCAAAATAAAATTGGATTGAGCGATAACTTCATCTTACTATGGCCACAAATTTGTAATCGTTGCCATTATAACAGAACTACGTGGTGAGATAACTTCTCCTATTCTTGGGAGTGATGAATCATTTGTCGATCCACCATAGCTTCAATATACTTCTCGATGTAATCATTCACTACCAATCTAATAGCCCTAAAAAAAACTCTATTGGGCTAGTGTCAAACTACACCGATTGATATATAAGGCGCTCCGGTGATCTCAAACCTAAGGATCACATGCACCACCATCCACTAGAGGATTTATTCTATAGACACTGCGGTTACCATCTGTATAGAATCCTTTGGTTGGTTAGTCTAATGAACTCGCTTACAGCAAGCACCTATGTGTTGCACCTGGCTATCACCAAACAACCTTGATAAGTGAGATATGTCACTACCTTTCAACAAGGCCATTCAAAACGATAGTAGTCTTACCATATTATCTATGCCCTTGGTCAAATAATACTAAGACTACAGACATTTCTAAAATGGCCACCAAATGTGCTTATAAGGATCTCACTATCAAGATGAATTTAAAGCACTTGATTCTCTCATCATGATTCAACCATCCTGAGGACGTATATCACAACATATGACTAATACGAATTACACGATACATTTACTAATGCCTTTATTAATGAATAAACATGATACATTAGAGTTAATTTACAATAAATGGATTGGATCTGATATGAGCTTGAATATACATATTTACTTAGTGGTTTTGGGGGATTATTTGTGAGAAATTAGGCTTAATTTGGTAAAGTTGCTTAATATTTTCATAATTGTCTTTTATGGATCACAAGTGTGTTTGAGTGTTTTTTAGGTTATTAGTGCTAAATGTTATGCTCGGATGAAGAATCATGTCAACATTGGAATGAGTAACGAGTAGAAACAAACAGATCAAGAATCGGAGTTGAATTGAAGAAGTTATGGAGCTTTGAAGTAAAGAAGAGATTCTAGATTACACTCCAGTTTGAGCATGTCTTGGTTTTTCAACAATAACACAAGTTGTAGACCCTAGATTAATACGATTCTTGAACCGTTGGAAATCTGGTTTAAAGGGCTACATTTCATATGTTTACCACTTTTCCAAATTCTATAGTTATTATGCTAAAACATCACCATCTCTAGAGTGTTGAAGAATGATGCAAGGTTAGAAGAGGAATTGGACTATGCCGCAGCACACTTAGTCCAGAATCAACCATGCCACAACACTATGCCATAGCACACTTAGTCCAGAATCAACCATGTCACAACACAGTGCTGAGGCACAATCACGATAGCTAAAAAAAATTCTTCTGTTTTTTACTAGGAAAATAGGGTTTAAGAGTCCTAAACTAAATAGAATTAAGGAAAACAAAACCCTAACCCTTTTTAGATATAAATACAAGTCTTTTAGCATTATTTTTGGGGATTCTTTAGAGGAGAATAGAGAGAACAAAAATACTCAATAATGTAGAGATTAAGAGAGATTGAAAGAGGCTTGGACAGAAGAATTGGGGAAGATCATCATCAACTCCATTGTTCTACCCAAGATTTCCTACGTTTTTCTTATCTCTTGTTGTTATTTTTTTTTTTTTTTTTATTCATTACTATGATTATGTTTTTATTCTTCTCCATGAGTAACTAATTCTTTTGTGATTGAGGGTGATTTCAAAGCCCTAGACATGTCTTGAAATTAATAAAA